GCGGCGCGTCACTTGGCGGAAAATCAGAACGGATTTAATCAAAAATACTTTTCGTGGTTCAAGAAATAACGCCTTTTTTTTACTTTAAACACAAAACATATAATAAGAGATTTTATTACTTAAAATAAAGTGTATTAATTCCAAAACGACTTCAATACTAAATACCAAAAAATGTCAAACTCACATGGAGTAGAATGTTATAAAACAGACATAACTTAAACATCATAAAACACTTCAAGGAGTGCAGCGGAAGTTCTTAAAATCACATACGACATATTGAAGTCTTTTTTAAAAAAAAACACTAAATAACATGGCATGCAAATGCGTCCTACGCTTCTTTCCATCCCTGTGCTCCTAGCGGGTTCCGTGCTCAACCTACGGGTAGGAAAACACACAACTACCCGCTCAGCAATGTGCTGAGTGGTACGGTAATAACATAACAATAATATTAACATATCAAAGAACATATTAACATATCATAATTCACATCTGATCGGACAAACATATAACATACCTGGGTGAACCGAGCAGCTGTTATAAAAATACAGATATTTACATACAGAATAGAATCATACTCAGATATCATAACTATCAGATAATTTTATTCTGAGATAATTATTATATTCTTCTTGTGTACAGAACAGAAGCATATTCAGATATCATAATTACCAGATAATTCTTATTCTGAAACTTATCAAAAATACATATTCATTTAGCCTTGAACTCTAGAATCTGGACCTAGACCGAGGAATACTAACGGTAAGGAGTACGGTCGATCGAAGTCCGTACCCACATTACTCAGAAGGAATATGGAGTGTACGAAGTACACTAAACAGAACAGGAGTGTACGTGGTACACTAAACAGGAGAGCACTATTTCCTCTAAACAGAATTTCAGGAGTGTACATAGTACACTAAACAGAATAGGAGTATCCTAGTCAGAGTACCGGATCAAGAGTAAGGCTTTTCAAGTTTCATATAATGGTGTTTACGTTTATTTTAACTTCAAATAAGTACTCATATATATAAATGGTTTTCAAATACGTAACCTTACAAAAAATGACTTATAAAATATACAAATGTAAATAACAAATTAACAATCAGAAGAGTACACTTAATTTATACATCCCCTCGACTATAAATTAACAATTACCTGAACCATAAATATCAATTTATCTTAATATTCTGTTTTTATGAATAAATAACGTAAGTGTATATCTTGTGGTCTAAAATGTCAATCCATTCTTACAAACATGTTTTTTTGTATTCACATATACGTAACCAGTAACCCATGTATATAAACATATATATCTTTTTTTTTATATATATGTTATATTAGTTATCAATTAAAAAAATAAAGGTCATCATTACTTATACGGAGTATATATATCTACCGAATTACTTAGTAGGGCACCATTTGGGCTAAGTGCATGCATGCTGTCATGTATATATATATACACATATTATTATACTTAAATATTTAGCTAGAGCATCCATGCATGATATATACTTATTATGTATGCATGTTATATTACATATCCATGCATGATTTCTACGGAAGATGTATTATGAGATGTATGATAAACTTGTGCCTTAGGTTGATTTCTACTTACACCAGGATACGTATATATATATTTTATCAGTAGAGCTAACCCTAGCAAATTTCCGAGCCTTTGAAGATGATACAGAATCTGTAATGAATCACAAAAACCATTTTTTTGGGCAAAAAACAGTAAAAAGTAATCATTAGTTCCACTCAGGGAAGATATTTTACACTCTAACACTGTTTTCTTAGTAAAAGCAACCAATAGGAGGGTTTCTAACCCAGGAATGTAATGATTAATACTCACAATGTTAATGTGGCTGAATTCCTACCACATGAATAACTGACAATGTTACATTCACACTCCAAGCCCATTCTCATTGCACTGTTTTTGTAAAATATCTCATTTACAAACAGCTGCAAATTATGTTTAAATAATTCCTGATCGAAATATTCACAAAACCCTAAATAATTCACAATAATGATTTTACCAAAGCTATGATAAAACTTGGTAGACCTCCAAAATCTAATTAGAAATGTGATTGAATATAGTAAATGGAAAAAATGGTAAATATCATTATGAATTAAACCATGCTTTCCCACAAAACAAAATTACATTCAATCTCACTATTATTTTACACATGCTTTAACCATTGTTCACCACCTAATCATTCACCTCAAATAAAACATTTTGTATTCCCATTCTTAAAATAAGGTTGAAACAGAAAAATATTATAATAGTGAAAATTTTTATAACACAGTTTTCTGAGTAAAAGCAACCAATATGGGGGGTTTCTAACCCAGGAATGTCATGATTAATACTCACAATGTTAATGTGGCTAAATTTCTACCATAAAATAACTGACAATGTTAGATTCACACGCCAAGCCCATTCATTGCACTGTTTTTATAAAATATCTCAGTTTGAAATGGCAGTGAAATATGTTTGAAAAATTCTGATAGAAAAATTCACAAAACCCTAACTATTTTTTGATTTGGCAGATTTTAAACAATTTACAAACATACAAAAATACGTATAGTGCTCCAGTATGATTTTTCCAAACCTTTGACAAAAACTGGTAGACCTACTTAAGATTTTTAGAAACGTGATTGATTAAAGTAAATGCAAAAAAATGGTGAAATACCATTATGATTTAAACCGTGCTTTCCCACAAAACAGAAAAATTATATAACAGGGACAATAAATTCTGTATTCCCAAAAAATATTGTTTCAACTCTATCACTACCAACACATATGTTATATATATATTCATTATATTCCTTCCATATTAGATCTATTAAATGTTTTCCATCAGACTCCATGTTTGATATTAATGAATAGGCTTTGTTACAAATACGATTGAGCATGTTAGAGCAGTTCGGTATTAACTTGAGTTGTAGTAATATATGTACCCTGTCTAACTTTTGGTATTAGCGTAACAGTACTATGGTTTTAGCAATTGTATTGTGTTAATGAAGAGTATCTCTTATTAGAGCTGCCTAGTACAAAGAACTGCCCTTGTCATGGCAGCAATTCAGGGGGGTGGGTGGGTGTTGGTAGAGAATTACATGCATTACCTGTTAATGGAACTGCCCATGGATGCTTCGCTTAACATTTGCTAATGAAACACACATAATCGGAGTGTACTGCCATATCTACCCTTGATGACACATTTACCTCAAGATTTACAGTAAAGTTAAAAATTCATCATTCTTAAGCTCAAATCTACATAACCAAATCAAATCACTTTGAACATAGATTTAATGAAACCCGTCAAACTCCTAGGTTTTATTAATGACACGCAAATATACAATAGATGAATGTGCTATTTGGACCAGTTCGGTTTTACATTAATGGCATACGCACATAATCTCTTTTTTAAAGTAAGGTTGACCCTGAAAAATATTCTAATAGTGAAAATTTTTATAATAGGGACAATAAATTCTGGATTCCCAAAAAATATTCTTTCAACTCTATTACTACCAATCAATTTTAACGTTTCCAAACTCGACATAATACTAACAAATATGGTATATTTATTCATTATATTCCTTATATATTAGATCGATTAAATGTTTTCCATCAGACTCCATGTTTGATATTAATGAATAGGCTTTGTTACAAATACGATTGAGCATGTTAGAGCAGTTCGGTATTAACTTGAGTTCTAGTAATATATGTACCCTGTCTAAACTTTTGGTATTAGCGTAACAGTACTATGGTTTTAGCAATTGTATTGTGTTAATGAAGAGTATCTCTTATTAGAGCTGCCTAGTACAAAGAACTGCCCTTGTCATGGCAGCAATTCAGGGGGGTGGGTGGGTGTTGGTAGAGAATTACATGCATTACCTATTAATAGAACTGCCCATGGATGTTCCGTTTAACATTTGCTAATGAAACACACATAATCGGAGTGTACTGCCATATCTACCCTTGTTAATAGAACTGCCCATGGATGTTTCATTTAACATTTACCTCAATTCTAACACTTAGCACATAAAATTTATCAGCTCCTGATGGTGTTCTGCATGTTGTGATTTGCAGGTTGACTGATGCCAATCCGCAAAAACTCGCCCTCAAGGATGGCTCTGTTTCTCTTTTTTTTTTGTGTTGCTAATTTCACGAAATATGATGTAATAATTAGACTTAGGCTAGACTTAGGATGTTCCTGTTCAAGCCGCACCCAGGTATGTTCATCCATACTCATCAGTCTTTAATTTATCCCCGTTGTTGTTTGGTTACACACTTACACATATTTTTACGACAAATCTTTTCAATTGGGTTACAACCAAAAAGTTTTTGTGTGAAACCGGTTCAGCAGTTTTGGATTGGTGCACACACTATTATATAGCCCCATTTTTTTTTCAAGAGTTGAAATTCTCAAACAATTTACTCTTCATAGACTCTGATATACACCCCCGGTTCATTTTCAAGAGGGTTGAAATTATCAAGCAGTTTAGCATTTATAGATTCTATTTATAGATTCTATTATACACCCCCGGTTCATTTATTAATATATTATATACCCCCTGTAAAATTTTGCAACACTCAAAATTCTCAAATAGTTAAATCTGTTTTTAGTTTCTCAACATACATTAACTTTTGCCATAGGGACTTTTTAGTATCGTCCATGCATAGCATATGATTTACTTGGATTTGCCAACTGTCCTATACTCCTATTGACAAATATCCAAGGCCATTATGAAACACCATAACGCCTTGGACAAAATGATTTGACAATCCATGTATAAGGACACTTTCACTGCATAGTCTGGGTTCAAGAGTGATGTAAAGAGGTAAGCAGCCCACAAAATTACCCATAAATATTCTACATTAGATCGCAACCATACATTAATATTGGAGTAAAATATATAGACCCAACATAGAGTTCATACATTTATTATATATTTTACATTAGATGGCGTCCATACATTAATATGGAACACACATATTTCACCTTAGATATGCATCATACAGTAGCATAGGAGGGGGTATCTGCGCTATAAATATCACACTTTAGGTAGTGTGTTAATAGCTAACAAAATACAAAAAAAGGGTAACATTGGAGACGTTGACCACATGTATCGCATCATATCCTTTCTTGATAACATTCTCCACCCTGCAGGTTTTATTAAGGTCTTCCCCAAAACACTTATTAATATCCAACGCAAACCCCAAACTTATTACTAATCCTTAGGATAGCATTACTTTTTAGATCCCTCGATCTTGATTCCCTTCATCTTTTTTGGCGGCACGTTTTTAGTTGCCTCGGTTGACGATGATTCCCCAAACAGATTCCTCTTGATCCTCTCGGTATCAACTTCCAGGGCACTTCTTTGCTCCTTGTCCAGTAATGGACTGTTCGAATTTACCTGCTCTGAAGACACAACCTGGAATGGAGACGTAGGCCGTCACTTGACAGCACCTTAAAATTGATGCCAACATATAAAAAAGAAAAGTGCGTTTACCCTTTCTCCACCACCAAACTCCCTCTTCAACAGAGAAAAATCATCCTCCTCCTGTTTAAGCAAACAAACACATTAACATACACAATTCATTTAGGATAAATGCCACAAATACTTGAAACGCTAGAGTGAAGTTTAGACATGGAACCTCTGTTGATGTGGTCTCCGTCACATAGAGTGAGATAACTCTAGGGTCAGTATTCATTCTAAGAACGCTGTAGGTCTGATTACCCTTGAAATTTCTGCTGTCACGTTTGTATTGAACGCGGAACAGGGCCTTGATGTCCATCAAGGCATTGATCTCGGAAGGGAAATAATTGGGTCCAAAATTCCTCTACACAAAAAATGAGAAGTTCTTAATGTGTCCCGAAAGGTAATGAGAAAACTTGGCAAAAAGTTTTAACAAAATAACAATTTGACCTTATTTACTTGTTCTTTCAATGACGTAGCAGATCGCCCAATCAAGCACGACACCTCTCTGTCCCACAGCAGAAAGGACGCGTGCGAAGTTGTATCGACCACTCGAATGTTGACCTTGTACCTACACCAATAATATTATTTGGATCCAATAAAATTAAGTAATGAAAGAGGTTTTTATGAAACAACACCTCAAAACAGCGTCTGAGGAATTGCAAGAGAGGCATTGAAACCCGTCGCCATTGGGAGTCACTTTACGGTTACAACCAATGCACGAAACATAAGACCACTCTTTGTGGTTATCAATGCCAGCAATCTCTCCATATATCCAGTGCTTTCCATCCTTATTAAACCATATATACGTAAGTCAGTCAAAGCCTGGTTAAAAACCTTAGATTGCTAAAGCCTATATTAATGGCAAGGACCTAACCTCTTCCATCTTAGTGAGTTGCTCAATAGTTACCAACTGAATCTGACCCGAACTAATGTCAGCGTCATTTGAGGTATCAGATGCAATTGTGAAGCTCAAACCTTCCCCACATCTGGAAGCCATTTTTGTTTTAAAATCGTTGAACTCATCCTCCACACCGTTAAGAATAACCTTGGTTGTATTAAACATGTTGGATACATGCACTTGCCCTGATTTTATTTAAACAAAAAACATTAGCAACTATATTTACTTGCGAAACAGCATGTAAATATTAAGGAAATAAATACCTTGGTATTTTTTAGCCCGGCAGCATTGAAGCAACATGACTATGGGTTCGCCCGTAGTTAGTTTGTACGACAACAACATATCAACCATAGGACCCCAAAGAGTGCATCCAATGACATTGCCCCTTTTAAAATAGCATTAGAAGTATTAGAGAAATTGTAGTGGTGAAACTGTATGTGAAAAAACTATATTTACAAAGTTACTAACTCTGTATCTCCAAGGATTAGCTCAACCAATTTTTTAGGCCGATCGTTTTTTAGAATTGTCTTGGGATCCTTGTCATGAACGACTTGTCCAATGATATCTGCTATATGACAAATATAAGTATATTACACAATGGACATAACACGGCATTGATTAGGAACACACGATAACGTATTTACAAACTGACCAATCGCTGCCCTGTCGTCGATAGTGTCTTGCGCTTGCAATGCAGCGAAGGACACCAACGAAAATGTCTTCAAGGGAAACGGAACCTTGATTTCAAATGCCTCACTCTTTTTGAAGAAGCGTAGCCTATAAGCGCTTGTAGTGGTTTTGAAAAACATGAAATTTTCTTCCACCATAAAATTTTTTATAGCATACACACGGCCTTCCCTGAACAGCCCAAAAAATTTTGCAATGAATTGATCAGGGATGTGACTGTGAATCTTAGAACCCTGAAAAATAAATAAAATATTATGATGAAAATAGCGACATGGCATCTTGAATAAAAATGAAAGGTATTTACAACACCTCTTCATCATGGAATATGACTTCCATAGAAGGTGGAAAACCATCATGTGCGGGTTCTCGGTAAACCCTTGTAGCCCGGGCCTTTATGGCCCATGTTGTTTTTGTTTGATCGAGCTGCCTAATCATAGACCACATCCCTACCATTTTTTTCAAATGACTCACCAAGCACAAAGATGTTTTTTGTGATGTTGTGGATGAGGATTGTGCTTGGACCCCCTTCTATTTATATAGGTTGTTGAGCCCACAAACATTTAATCAAGAAACTATTCCACCACCCAATGCAACCAATAAAATCAAGGATGGTGTTCTGCAATGGGATCCTGGCATTCATGGGAAATTCTCTTTAACCTCTGCATATCATGAAATAAGAGAAGCTAGGTCAGTAACATTCTCTTCTACTCACATATGGAATAAACACCAAACTATGCAAATTAAGGTGTTTATGTGGAAGCTGTTAAACAGATATTTGCCTCTAGTTGACAATCTGCAGAGATTTCAGTATACTCTACAACCCTCCAGATGTCCCCTGTGTAAGACTAGTGGTGAGACTACGGATCACATATTCTTCGGCTGCTCTTACACAAAGGAAGTCTGGATCCACTTTATGGAAATATTTAACATCAAGATGCCTAGAACCAACTCTATCAGACAGGTTTTGATCTTTTGGTGGATCGAGGCTGGATCTAAGACCATGGCCGATATATTTCGGCACAACCTTCCAGGTATAATCTGTTGGTATATTTGGAAGGTTTTCTCCTCTTTTACTTGGGGATCTGAATCTATCCCAGAGGCAGAACATCTTATTACACAGATTAAGTTTTATACTCAAAGATGGACGTATAAGTTGGCTAATATTAAACGAAGAAAGGTTGAAGACTTTCTTACTCAGGAGCGCCTTATTCCGATTAATTTCAAATTTAATAGTACTGGACTACAGATTATTAAATGGAAAAGGCCAAAAACAGGGCTTAAATTAAATGTGGATGCATCATTCAAACCTGGTGTGGCGAAGGGAGGTGCTATTCTCCGAAATGCTTCAGGCGAAATGGTATGGGCTGCGTGCTTTCATATCCAGGCTAAATCGAGCAAGGAGGCTGAGATGATTGCGTTGTTGCGTGCCTCAGAGATGGTGATGAACGAAGGCTTCAGTAAAATCCAGGTGGAGACCGATGCCCTCTGTTCGATTCAGATACTTTTGCATGATGCGGAATCTGACTCCAAATCAGGAAACCAAGCTAGGTTTCAAGCTTTCAGGAGGAAGGCAGCGGAAAGAAAATTATCTTTTGTTCATACTTTCAGACAGGGGAATGAGACGGCACATTTACTTGCTGACCAAAGTCTTGGATCGACCCACACTATTACTTTTGATCGGGTTGAGTATATGCCCACAGATGTTAGGAGAAGCTATTTGGCTGATTTATTCGGATTACCTGCATTGCGCTATTAAAAAGTCACATTCATCTCTTGTCTTTTGTCTTTTGTCTTTTTTCTTTTGTCTTTTGTCTTTTTTGGTCTTGTCCTTTTCAGAGGAATGTTTTTTTTTTTTTTTTTTTTTTTTTTTCTTTTTCTTTTTGTGGGTCAGGCCCCTTTCATAGTCATCCATTTTATCGTTTTCTTGTATTTTTCAGAGGTATGCCTCTGAGAGAGGTTTTGGTATAGTCCCCCTCTTTTTTGTATCCTTTTCAGATTTCAATAAAACACTGGCAAATGTTTCCCGGCGTTTGCCCCACTGATTTTGGTGGTTTGCCTACCGGGTTAAAAAAAAAAAAAAAAAAAATAAAATCAAGGAAAATAAAAAATGTGATATGGTGTTGTACGTCCAGATCTTGCCAACCAAGTTCAACCAATAGGATTATTTTGCCCAAATTAATTGACACCAATATTGGCTGTGGAGCTGGAAACATTAAATCAACCAACTATTCCACCACCCTTCCAACCAATGAGAATAAAGAAAAATAAAAAATGTGATATTGTGTTGTACTTTTAGATCTTGCCAACCAAGTTCAACCAATAGGATTATTTTGCCCAAATTAATTCTCACCAATTTTGGCTGTGGAGCCCATAAACATTACATCAAATGACTATTCCACCACCCTTCCAACCAATGAAAATCAAGGAAAATCAAACACATAAAGTGATAAATTGATTTGGTAATTGTTTTTGATGTTGTAATGACAAAAGCATGATGTTGACACAAATGGGAGGGAACACTATTCACATAAAAACCTTCTCTTTAGATATTAATAGATGTTATATTACATATCCATGCATGATATAATACGTTATCCATTTATGTGAATACACTTATTATGCATGCATGTTATATTACTAAAATATAAAGATTTTATAGTGTTACATGCCCCCGTAAGTCATTTATGAACTTAGTGCATGGATGTCAAGTATTACTCCGTATTATTTTACTTCAATGGTACGGTGAGGCCGAATGTATTATTATTATAAGTATACGTATGAGAAATGATACTTGTACCTAGTTATAATCTTTATACGTACCGCTCTTATCTAGAGGGTGCATGTGTTTTTCCGAAGTATTACCATCATTTTAAAATGCTGATTTTTATTATTATATGCTACTCCCTCCGTGTATCTATAACTAAATATTAGGTTTTCCTAACATGTAAATTTAGGTAAAAAGTAATGCAAGCATATCAAACATGCATATACATAAATATGTTAATGCATGCATGTTAATTATAATAGCACATATCTATCCTAATCAAAATATATGGTTTCATGCAAAATATTCTACATGCTCGTATATCACAGAATCGTTATAATTAATCTAACCGCGTTAATTTTAACGACTCTACTTCTTAATAATATGGAGCTAAGCTTTATTTCTAGCTGATCTTCGTATTGATTTAAACGAATGTAATTACTATCAGCTATGACAGATTGATGTGTCTATAAACTCAAAATTCTTGTAAATTAAGAACACATAGAGCATGCAAAATTTCTAAGGTTATATAACATTCATCATCCCCATAACACAACGGGAAACGGGGACGGAAATAAATTCAATAATCTAAATGGTCGGGACGGAAACGTACTGACCTCGTAGAGAAATCCTTCTGAAGATTTTGGTAGTATAATAGTATGGAAACCTCTGGCCTATACTGCTATCTTTCTCCTATACGGCCATCTTTCTCCTTATCCTCGCTAGTTCTGATTCTTCATATCGTTAGCTACTGGTCTCCTCTTTTATGTTTATTTTAGTATATTTGTGCTAAGCCACTTTCGTAAAGTAAGTGATAAAATATCTGATTTGGTTCTATATGTAATATGTATGACCACCGCCTATAATAGTAATAGTTTATACTATCAAAGCATGGGAGTGAAGCCAAATCAGTGTTACGTTGTCCGCTCTCACATGCTAGTAACACGTATATATGGGGTATAGGGAAACTTCCATGTGGAGATTGGCATGCATATCACAACAATATATGCCTGATCGGTCATAGAAGTGTTTATGCCGGCCTCCAAGTGTACTTTACCATGCATGTTAGGACAACCAGCTGCTGAGTTATTTGTATACATATTGCAGGCGTAGGCTTTTCTTTTGCAGCTAAGTGGGTTGGTCATGAAAAGCTAAGATTTTTTATTATTAATATATTAAGTATAATCTAGCTTATGTAACAAATCTTACAAATAGTTTCGTATATGTTGCCTTTTAAATCCCAAAATTTGATCATGAGTCTCCTAGCATGTCACGGTTACACCTTTTTTATAACATTGGATCACTACAAAAAAACAGCGTTATAGTCACGGATTTTAGTCACGGATTTGGTCCGTGACTAGTTTAGTCACGGTCTAGTCACGGACTAGTCACGGAAATTTAAAAAAAAAAATAGTCACGGTCCAGACCGTGACTATGACCGTGACTTAATGTTAGTCACGGTCTGGGCCCGTGACTTAAGTCCTCCGATAGGCCCGTTTCCGTTTCCGGCGAAGTTTATTTGACTCCGACGACTTAGTCACGGCCAAATCCGTGACTATACTCGTGACTATAATTAAAATTTAATTTTTTCAACTCCCTTAACTTAATTCGCAACGGCATTATGTACGGATAATTTTAGTCACGGCCATATCCGTGACTAGTTCCGTGACTACTTTGATTAACACGTCATTTACACGTCATTAACACGTGTTGGACGCGTATTGGACACGGTTTTGCTTAGTGACGGACAAATCCGTGACTAAGTCCGTGACTAAATTTTTTATATATGCAGGAGCAGCTCATTGAACAGAACCACACCAATTCATTCCCAGTATATACAGTATCCGTTTGAAAGATCGAAGGATGTAGTCTATCTTCTATCATTTTCCCTGTTTATGCAGATAAGGTATGTTATTTGAATTATAATTTTTATTTAGAATTAGTTGGTTCAATTTAAATTATTAAAACTATTAAATTAGTGAGGTTGTTAATTAAATAACAACATGTTTTAACTATAAGCGTAGTAATGTCATAAATTAGAATTAGTTAAACTTTTAGGTTTATAAAATAATTTAATTAAAATTAGTTAGCTAAATGTACGTAGTTTAAAACGTAATGATGTTTATGTTTAGTGAAATTAGTTCAAATAACGTACGTTAGTAATGTGTTATTGTGAATTGTGTATTGCTTATTAATTCAAATAACTTTATATACATGTTCAAATTATTGGGTTGAATTTGGTCATATTATTAAATTTAGTGAATTGTTAATTGTGTGTTACTAATAAGATTAAATGTCATTAACGTAATAATTTAGTGTAGGTTTAAACTAAACGTAGGTTTACAAAAATAATTTAATTAAAATTCGTTTGCTAAACGTAGGTTTGAACGTAGCTATTGATGTGTTAATTAAGTTAAATTAGGTAGCTAAACGTAGGTTTAAACGTAGTGATGCATTAAAAGGGGACGGAATGAACTAGTTAAATTTAGTTAAATTTAACTAAATGAATTAGTTAGATTTAATTAAACGTATGTTTAATTTAGTGAAATTATCTGCATTATTGTGCATTGGGGACATATATTTTGTGCATTATTGTTGTGAATTCTGTGCATTTCATTTTAAAAAAGTGAAAATTAGTTGATTATATTTAGTGAAATAAATTACTTAAAATTGTGTGCATTGCATTTCATATAATTTTTTATTATAATATTCAGGCATAATGTATAAACAAAATAGAAGTTGGATGTATGATAAAGATGCGGTATTGTACGGAATGCAATCAAATTTTCTCGAGGGAGTCGGGGAATTTATTGAATTTGCACTTGAACATCCGGCTTATATGAGTGGTGATAAAATAAGATGTCCATGTTCAAAGTGTAAAAATCTCAAATTTAAAGACCCACACGAAGTTGGGTATGATTTGTACGCGGTCGGTTTTGTTCCCAATTATTATAATTGGACTTCTCACGGCGAACCTTTGGATCCATCTGTTATACCACAAACGGTAGGTTCGTCTCGTTACGTCCCTCCAGAGATGAGTGCGTGGGGAGACCGTGCTGAAATGAGGTGGGACCAACAAATGGTATATGACGCATACGGTGTACCGTCTCAATTCAACCCCCCACAACCACCTAACGACCCCCCTGAAGCCTCAACCTCGTATCAACCAGATGCGGATGAAAATCCGACATTTTATCAACCTTATGTGGATGAAGGTTTGGCTGAGAGATTTCAGGATGTTCTAAAAGCTGTCGACCAACCTCTGTATGCTGATTGTGAGGGATACTCTCAGCTATCCACTGTTACTGAGTTCATGAACATAAAAGCCGAATACAGTCTCCCTGAAACTTGCATGAATAGAGTCTTGCAGTCAGTAGGAGGGATGTTACCGCGAGATCATACCCTTCCGGATTCATATTACCACATGAAGCAGTTAATGTCTAAGTTGGGGCTACCTTGTGTTGAAATTGATGCGTGCCCGGAAGGATGTATGTTGTTCTGGGAGGAGGATGAGGCACTTGAGTTCTGCAAGTTCTGTGGTGGAGACAGATACAAACCTGTTCGTCAAGGTAAAAAGAAACCACGACATAGGTCTGCACTGTCTAAACTGTATTACCTCCCAATGGCTCCTCGACTGCAAAGGATGTACGCTTCGACTGCTACTGCGAAACACATGACATGGCATGTTGAGCACGAAACCAACGAGGGTATGATGGCTCACCCTTCGGACTGTGAAGCCTGGAGACACTTTGACCGCTGTCATCCTCAGTTTGCTATGGAGCCACGAAATGTGCGGCTGGGATTGTGCTCAGATGGATTTGCTCCTTTTGACAGGTTTGGCAAGAACTATTCATGTTGGCCGGTCATGTTAACACCTTACAATCTCCCTCCCGACATGTGCATGAAAAGTCATTTCATCTTTTTGTCTTTAATTTGTCCGGGTTCCAAGGATCCTGGGCGAAAGATAGACATTTATCTTCAACCCCTTATTGAGGAGACGAAAGAATTGTGGGCCGTTGGGACACCAACTTATGATGTTTCATCAGATAAAATGTTTATCATGAAAGCTGCCATCATTTGGACCATTAGCGACTTCCCTGCCTATGGCATGCTTTCGGGATGGAGCACACACGGTCTGATGGGATGTCCGATATGCATGGAGAAATCAAGTGCCAACTGGCTCAGTTACAGCAAAAAAGGAAGTTACTT